AAGGTGATAAAAAGTGCAGAATTTTCCAGCCCGGAATGAATAGAGAGAACCTAACATCCCATGCAACAGGGATAGATCCGGGAATTGTCTAGAAGGGACCCAAAAAAAATGAAGGTTGATTTGACAAGCAGATACTGTACGAAGATTCAGCAGGGCCTCCTTCAAGGGTAAGATAAGGATTCTTGCCTCTTTATGCTATCTGTGATACTGAGATTCATCACATAAAACAAGGAGGTAAATAGAAATTTTCTACCCACCTTTTATTTCTCAGCTGAAATACTTCGAATGCGGAAAGGCAGTTCTGAAATGTCCTTATACTATGACGTAGCCTATGAACCATATCCAAGCAAAATATTTCTGCGATCAGGTGATTTTAAGGTTGCTTGCAGAGATAAATAATCTATAGCTCACAAAAAGAGTGAATAAGAGTGGCATTGCCATTTTTATCTTCCTGCAGCTATCACAGAAGAGTTTGGTTAATGCAGAAAGAAGACAATAAATTCATTATGTTCAGAAAAGCACGTGGATGGCTTTCTCTTTTCAGTGGAAGACCTGCGAATTTGTGGAAGTCTTTCATGTCAGTTCAGAGTTCAAAAGTTTGTCCCCTTGCCGAAGTAGAAGGTCAAATTGCTGCTTTGGCAATCTACTTTTGGAACCATTTGAAATCAGCTGATCGTCAGGATAAAAGCCTAACAGACTAGTGTTAAGGTCTTGTTAAACTGGCTACCAATGTAGTCACATATGAAGCTATTTACACATACTTTCCATCACTAGAACGAGACTTCAGCATTTAGGTCCCAAACTAAACCCTGCATGCAGCTCCTTATTTTCCTAGATTGCCTTGGACTGATCAACTGATCATAATGCTGAACAATATGAACAACCCTACTAGCATCGAGTCTAGGGGAGCAAATTAGGAGAGACAAAGCTAATCTCATTAAAACTGCTCATTTTATTTTCAAAGTGGAAGTCAATTGTAGACGAATATTAAATAGTTTTAAGGGCAAATTCCACTTTACCCCCCTGTGGTTTAGCGTTTTTTCACATAACCCCCCTATGGTTTCAAAAGCTATACATAACCCCCTTATGGTTTGGATTAAAGTGTCAAAGTAACGGAAATAGTCACTCGTAACGGTGTCACCTAAAATGTCAAAAATACGCTTATGTAAGGTTGAAATTTATGTATTAACCAAGGGGGGTTATGTGTATGTTTTGAAAATCATAAGGGGGTTATATGGTAAAATATTAAACCATAGGGGGGTTATATGGTAAAATATAAAAATCATAGGGGGTTAATGTGTCATGTATTTATAAGGGTAATTTCGACATTTTTAGAAGTTCCGTTACGAGTGACTATTTCCGTTACTTTGACACTTTAATCCAAACCATGAGGGGGTTATGTATAGCTTTTGAAACCATAGGGGGGTTATGTAAAAAAAGGGTAAACCACAGGGGGGTAAAATGTAATTTACCCTAGTTTTAAAGAGAAAAAAAGATGGTAATTTCCTAAAAAGTGCTCATGTTGTTCTCGAACTGGAACCATAACTGAGAATATTTATATATATATATATAATTAGCTTTATATAATATACATATAATGATCAAGCCCATTATTCTGTAACATTTGCTTTTTCATAAGAGAAAGGATGAAGTCTTGGAAATAACAGAACCTGCCTGATAAAAGGGAACCATGCTTCTTCGAAAACCCCGAGAACAATGGACAGAAGCCCATGACAAGCGTAAGCCCAGCATCCTACTGAAAACATATTTTACTTTTTCTAAAAACGCTCTGTCCAAATCCATTTGGTTTTTTCAGTTTCTTTCTTGTACACCATATAACAAAATACGTTTGGGCCCTCTTACCCGATCCCGAACGATTGGTTTCAAGTATACCTGACAATTGGGCGGGTTGGGCAGATTTTGGACGGGTTGATGTTGGGTTTTCATTTAAATGGGTTACACCCAACCCGCCCAATTTTAGAGTGGGTTAATTTTGGGTTGGGTCATATTGGGTTATCTCAAACCCATAACCCAAATATGATCCAATATATTAATTAATAGATTTTGATACATAAACTCTCTCAAATACATTTTTACATACAAAAAAAAAAAAAATTTCACACACATAGATACACATAATTTTACACACTAAAACACTGATAGACACAAAAATATACTCATTTCTTAAGCTCTTTTGAAATATATTATTTTTACACATATAAACACATTACAATACACACTAATATATTTTTACAAATACACACACATACTAACTATTTAAACTACTTGGATGAACTCACTATTTTTTATACAAGTAAGGATTTTCAAACTGAGTATAGCTTTGGTCCAAACTAAGAGATATTTTAAAACTCAAATTCTTATTTATTATTGCATGAGACACATGTCAATCAACTAAATAATGTAACGAGTGTAACGGACAAAATTATAACAAAGAATCTCTTGCCAAATAATTAGCTTTCAAGAAACCATATCTTTATAATTTCAACATTTAGCATACAAATCTTTCGTGAAGGGATTAACAAAAATTTGGCTATTAGTTCAATATTTAATCGCTCCATAAACGAATTTTTACAACACTTGTCTCAGAAATGTTTATTGATATATATTTGCCATAGGGACGACTCTCGGTCAACTAGTCATAGGCTGATGATTCTTGCTCTACAATAGCAGAGGTCAAATTACGTTTAAATGATAATTGCTAACCCCTTTACTAAACCATCAAAAAGTCCAACCAAAATACAGGGAACTTACTCCAAAAATTAACACTTTTTTTTTTTTGCCCCGGGGGGTTTTTTTTGGGGGTGGTGGTAACAGTTTTGTACACAAGAATGTCTTTTTCCATGTGGCAACAGGATGGGTTATACTTGCATAGAAAACATACAAAGAGAGAAAAATTGGATAATGGGTGCCCAATACAAATACCCAAACCGTCTAAAATATATATGGATTTTTATTACCCAACCCAAAATTTACCCAATACCCAACCTCTCAAATTAGTGGGTGGGTTGGATGGGTTGTTGGGTTTTGGGTATAATTGCCAACTCTAATTTCAAGCGTAGCAAAGTGGGTATCAGTTTTTTAGCATGGTACGTGAGGACTCGGGGTACCTTTGAGCCCATTGAAGCATTAGGATTATGATACATCTACAACTGAATCAAACCCATGCATTCTTAGTCTAGCGATCAAGATTGAGACCGAAAAAGTTAAAAAAAATTCGGAGTTCAAATTACACTACTATGTGTATGTTTCTTTTCCCATAATTTGTAACTTATAGAAATTGTTGTAACAAGTAGCGGTACGTAGTCGCAACAAACTAATCAAATTAATAAGAACTCTGCAATGGAATTTCAGTTATGGATTCTGATTTCACTTTTGCAAATTAATTTATAGCCCAATAAAGAGTCAACATTAAATTGAGTCATATTACAAACCTTTAGCAAATTAATTTATTGAGCAATGAAGAGTCAACCTTAAATCGAGTCATGTTAGAGCGAGGGATCAAAGTTTCAACGTACACGTCGGCAATAGGCACTTGGGGTTGACTCACGCGGAAGTATGCAACTGTTGTAGCCAATTTGGTAACAATAATCAATGTGGACGTTGAATTATACCTTCGAATCGGACAACAGAAATTTCCCTGCCCAAGAGGGAAAACATCAATTTCAAGTGAAAAAGGAATTCAATTATTGAATAGTCTTTGGTAATAATTCTGCACGCTGATAATTGATTGGAGTAGTGCATGATTAGGAGAAGACCAAGTCAACTGACGCGAACCCTAGTCATCCCTGATGAAAACTATAATCCAATCTTTAATCAAGTGTATGATTGTCCATCCAATGACATTGAAATTTATTAGGTTCATTGTATTCGTTGATTTTAAGTCTATATGCATTTGTGCGTTTGTTTGATGTATTTTTTCTGTCATTACTGTAGACTTATTAAATAAAATGATCTTTTCTGTCAAAAAAAGACGTAACCCCGAATTTTTTTTAGTGTTTTTAAGTCCATCAGCCGCCTCCTTGTTCTTAGTCCTTGGTTCTAACTGGAATAAATCAAACTGAATAGTACTTCTAAAACTGCGAATATGGAATTTATTACGTTACTTTTGCTTCTAATCTTTGCTAATATTGGTCCGCGCCTGTTTAGTTACCATGAAGACGTCACTTAATTCAACCAGATATTCTTTTCAGATTGTGATTCTGACCAATGACTTTTGGTTAGTAATTGTAGTTTGACCTGTATTATTATCCCTACCAAGCTATTTATATTCACATATTTCATTGTTCCAAGATGTTTTAGACGGGCTTGCAGAATTAATTTAGTCATGTAATTACAAACTCATGGAAGAATCACGATTTGATTAGTCACAGAACAGATAGAAATGATGTAGTAGCGGGGTAATTAATAATATGCACATCAAGCAAAATAAAAATTTGGTCAAATGATTATATAATTTTGGTTGTAACATCCTATGCTGTTATTTTTTTTTTTTTTTGTCGACACAGGGGTGTCCGGGTCAATCTTTACGGGGCCCGACTAATCCTCTGCGGCCCGGACCCAGCGCCCCAACCCGGTCCGAACACGTTAAGTGCGCGGAGGAATCCAGCGGAGCGGAGACTCGAACTTGTGAGCTCAAGATTCACTGGTGAGAGGCGCTGCCGCTGGACCATTCACGCGGGGGCTTGTAACATCCTATGCTGTTATTGCAAATTTTATTTCCTCCTTGTTCACACCACAATAGATGTCTTGGACCAGTTGATGGGTCTACTTGCTCGAATGAAGAAAGTTCATGCTCTTCCATCTCTAATGAGTTAAAAGAGAAAAGAAAAATCAAACCTCATACGTCTCAACTCAGTCTTATCTTCATCTTTTGGCCTATTAAGTACCCTTTATGTTTCCCGGAAACTAATGGTGATGGTTGACTTAGCATTATTGAATCCAAAGTCTCTAGTTTAGATTCCAGAAAACAACAAAACTTCCACGCGAAATTACAAAACACCAAGAGAAGCGCGCGAACTGGGGGCTGGAGAGACACGGATACCGTTATTCCTCGAGTCTTCTTCCACTTCCCAATATAATCATAATCCCCGTTCCCCAGTTCCCACAACTCAGAATTCTTAAACCTCAACCTGTTCAACTCAGCAGTCATCCAGACTTCAGAGTGCACAGGATAGTATTGCAGCATTAATGGAGCTCTGGTCTGGATAGAGCTGAAAGGGACGTGTGTTGAAATTGAAATGAACGGTTGTGGCGGTTGTGGAATGCCCTCTTGCCATTAATAACACCTTACTACCATACCAGAACTACCACTACTTATTAACTTCCTCCTGCCATTATTACCCTCAGAGTCAGAGACAGGGACACACAGCAGTCATACACGGTCCGATACTCGGACAGTTACGACCCCTCATGGGCTCGTTCATTTGATTTATGGTCCAAAACAAAAGCCTTTCTGCTGTGTTGAAAGTTGAAACTGAAGAATCAAAGGCAAAGCTGGTGATCCGCCAAACTACCAAGTTCCTACACTGGGTAAACAAATTTATCATACTAGTTTATTATGCTCCATTTTGCTGTCACTGTCGCAAGCTTATTCATTTAATGATCAGGGCAGACCAACATTTGCTGTGGAAATAAGGTGGAAGCTCCATTCTATTGCTTTACCGGTCCCAAAGTGGAAACAGAGCTCAAGACTGCATTTTTTCTTCTTGAGGGAGCTCAAATTTATGGTAGAACTCACCGGCTGAATCGGGTTATGGACTTTGAATCAAGATTACGTGTTTATTCTTGAAGGTGCTGGATTACTATAACATAGACCTTAGCAAGTGCCTAATCAGCGTAAAAGGTTGTGCTTGTGCATGTTCAAATCAAAATTGCACTTTTCACCTTGAGGCAGCTGGATTGTATCATTGACATGCTACAGACCTTAGCAAGTTCATTTTTGGTTCCAAGGGTCATGGACGGTCAATTCAAGGTTGCATTGCTTTCCCTCTTGTTTTTCAACTTTATGCAGACGGAGCAGGTTCTAGCAAGCTCCGGCTCGGAAAGATGGGCTTTGCTGGAGCTCAGGGCATCCCTTGGTATTAGAGCTCGATACTGGCCCAAAAAGGTCGAGCCTTGCTTAAACTGGACAGGGATTGAATGCCAAGATGGGAGAGTGACAGGAATAAGCTTATCTGGGATAAGGAGAACTCGGGTTGGAAAGCGAAATCCACGGTTTGCTATTTATCCTTTAAGCAATTTGACCTCATTATCTTCCTTCAATGCTTCAGGGTTTCTACTTCCTGGGCCAATTCCAGAATGGTTAGGCCAAAGACTAGCTACATTACAGGTGCTTGATCTCAGGTCTTGTTCAATTTATGGATCAATTCCTGACTCATTGGGAAGTTTGTTTAGGCTTAATTCTTTGCATTTGTCTGAAAATACGATTACTGGGACAATTCCAGCGGCATTGGGGAAGCTGAATTCCTTGTCAGTTCTTGATCTTTCAAAAAATTTATTAACAGGGCCAATTCCTAGCGCTATTTCAGCTCTTAGGAACCTTAGTAGTCTTGATTTGTCGTCAAACTTCCTTTCTGGGGCGATTCCTACTGAGATTGGTTCACTTTCTAGTCTTAAGTTCTTGAGGTTACACGACAATAGTTTCAGCTCTTCTGTTCCTGCTCAGCTGGGTAATCTTTCTGCCTTGGTGGAGCTTGATCTTGGTTACAATTTTTTGTCGGGGCCATTGCCTGAGGATTTAGGACGCATAAGTAGTTTACAGAAGTTGTTAATTGGGAATAATGAGCTAGAAGGTGCTCTGCCAGCTAGAGTACTTTTGGATCAAAAATTTGTGGAATTTGTAGTTCTCAGGAACAACAAATTTGATGGTAAATTTCCTGATGTCTTGCGGTCAGTGCCGCATTTACTGTTTCTAGATATCTCTGAGAATAACTTCACAGGTGAATTGCCAAACCTTACTGCTTTCTCTGATAATGCCGGCACCAAGTTCAATTTCTCAAACAATTTGTTCTACGGAAATGTGCCCTTTGAAACTGGCGGAAATGTCTCACTTGATCTATCGAATAACTTCTTGAAAGGATTGGCTCCTACTACTACGAAAAGCAGTGTCAATATCAGCACCAATTGCTTTCAGAGCCTGCCAGATCAGAGGAGTATAATGGACTGCCAAAAATTTTATGCCAAGAGAGGCCTTCATTTTGATGGCAACAATGTTCCCGAGTCACCAGAACCTCCAATTTCGGAACATTCAAAGAAGAAAAACAAACTCACCTTTATATTGGTGGGAACTTTTGGTGGACTTGGCTGCATTTTGATTTTAGGGGTAGCATTAGCATATGTGCTAAAAGTATGTAACAAACGAAGTGGAAATGGAAGAGGAACAGCGGAAGTCAGGCATGTTTCAGTAAAGGATAGTAGGCCACCTCCTCAGATTCCTTTGTGCTTCTCAGGTCTTGGAGAAGAATTTACATACGAGCAAGTGCTCCATGCCACAAATAACTTCAGCGAAACAAACCTCATCAAGCATGGTCACTCTGGAGACATATTCCGTGGAACATTAGAGGGTGGAAACCTAGTAGCCATAAAGAGAGTTGATTTACAAGTTCTCAAGAAAGGGAGATGTACTTCGGAATTGGATCTTTTTGACAAGATAAATCACCCAAGGCTAGTCCAACTTATTGGTCATTGCTTAGAGCTTGAAAATGAAAAGATCTTGGTTTACAAATATATGCCAAATGGAGACTTGTCCAATTCCTTTTACAGGGTTAACCATTTGGATGATGATTGTTTACAATCTTTGGATTGGATCACACGATTAAAAATTGCAATAGGAGCTGCTGAGGCTTTATCTTACTTGCACCATGAGTGTAATCCTCCACTTGTCCACAGGTACCACACATTTCTTTCTTTCTGGCTGTAATGTATCATTCCTACTTTCTACTATAGAGAGCTTTTATATATCTTAATGACATTCGGGACTGATTCAAAGTATGGCTAGATTTAAAGGCAACTGATGCATATCCAAATGTTTCAGAAGAAATCCTGCTTGACTACCTCGTCATCTTATTCATACTATTATTTTGTGTTTGAAGAGATATTCAAGCAAGCAGCATCCTTCTTGATGATCAATATGAAGTACGACTTGGAAGTTTAAGTGACGTTTGCGCTCAAGGAGTGGAGAACAGTCAGCAAAGGATTTCAAGAATGTTCTGGATGGCACAGTAAGTACTTCTACCATTTACATTATCACAACTCGTGTCTGCATTTGACAATAGCTTTTCATATTTAATTTTATAAAACAAAATTTATGTCAGAGTGCATGCAAAGTGGACTTGTCATATTCCCAGTTAATTGGGTGATTAGGTTCGTTACTGGAAGGTTCCTGTGCTCTACTATCAGGGACTGAAACAGTTTTCTGGTTATCTGCATTGTGTTCTAAACTAAAACATGCTTGAGAATCACAAGCAAGCTTAAAGTAGCTAGAAAAGATAATTTACAACGATGTCATGTCAAGTTCTTTAGGTGTGTATTCATGCGAAATTTCAATAGCAAAGATGATAAGGTCCCATGCTTTTGTATAGTTTCCACTTCCTGATGTAAGCGATCTCTTAGTTTCATCTTTTTATGTTAGAAACATTAACCTTTTTAATTTTGTCAACGTGCAGGACTCCTGATAAAGGACCTTCAGGTACACTAAACTCCCGTACATACTCATGAGTAGAAATAGCTGAGGATTAATCACTTGTTTTGCATCAGCAACTAGGCAATGTTTGAGGTCGGTCTCCTACTTGGTCAAGGACGAAAATCCTGCACATAGCTTGAATCCCCTTTGACTTATCCATTATTGGCCTATCACATTATATCATGTTGGGGAGACCTTATGATTAATTGAAATGGGTTTTTTCAAACCATGTTGTTGACTCATGCATGATTTTGGGTTCCATAGAATTGTTTCATTCTGGCAATAACCTGTAGAGTCCTGTTGGCTTCTACTTCTAGGGACTTCTAAATATCTGAACCACAGAGTTTAATGGGTTTTCCAAACATATTATGTAATGCAATTGGCAATTGCTTAAATGCTATGCTCTTTGCAAATCAACAGGACCATCTGCAAGTTGTGCTTATGATGTATATTGCTTTGGAAAGCTCTTACTTGGGCTTGTCTCGGGTAAGCTGGACATCTGCAATTTTGAAGATGAGGGCTCTACAAATGAGTGGTTGGAAAACAATCTATCTTACATCAGTATACACGAAAAGGAACAGGTGGGTAAGATTATTGATCAGTCTCTTATCATAGATGATGATCTACTTGAAGAAGTGTGGGCTGTGGCGATAGTGGCCAAGTCATGCCTAAATCCCAAGCCTTCCAGACGTCCCCTGATGAGACACATCCTCAGAGCACTGGAAAATCCTTTCAAGGTTGTCAGGGAAGAAAATTTCAGCTCTGGAAGGCTAAGAACAACATCATCCAGAAGTTATTGGACCACTGCATTCTTCGGTAGTTGGCATCACAGCTCGTCTGAGAGTGCCAGTTTTCCAGGCCAAACAAGAAGAGAAGGTGCCAGTGATCTAAAACAGACAGGGAGAGCGGGGTCTCATGGAAGTGGCATGAATGAATACTCATCTTCACACAAAAGGTCCTCGAGCGAGATTTTCCCTGAGCCAGTGGATATTCAAGATCTAGAGAAGCAGGATGAAAACTAGGCAAGCTCTGAGTGATGTTGCCAGTAAATCTTTTCCCATCCTGGTATCGAGCAGTCCGTGTAACTTTGTGTGCGTCGAAAGGCTTTAGGCTTGAAAGTTGCCTCCTCCTGAAGGTCATTGATTTAGAGCCTTCTACAACTTTGATTCATTTGGGGATCCTCCAAGAAAATGACGATGAGCCTTTGGATCCAAATCAAAGAGGTTTGAAGCAAGCTATGATTCTTGCACTTGTCCTGCATGAAATGTAATGTAAATAGCCATTCAATGTAATTACGAGCATTAGTTTTTCACGATCTCATGCAAATTCAGAGGCATCCAGCTAAAGTATTTTGTTATTAGTACAATCGGATTGAGATATCCATCTCCACCAATAAAACCGTTTCCTGATGCTAGGAGACGAAATATCACATATAGAAACGGCAAAAGATTCTTGAAGTTATGTACGTATATACATGGAGCATAACGTGAGAACTTGATAACGAATGGTGGGCAGAAAACAAAATAGGGAGTTGTGTGGCCTCGGGACTTCCCGTTTGTTCGAATTTCACAATGGCAATGGCAATGAGTATCAAAAGTTCCTCAATGGTAATAGGTTTTGCCTATTCCTCCTTTTCACTTGTTTGGAAGTTATGTTGCAAACGGGATCTATTAAATTTCTTTTTATTACTATAATGGATTTCCTTCTTGGCTTCTTCAATTGTTTTTCTTGCTTCATAATGGGATCGGCTGATCTCTGGAGCCAAACCACCAAATGCCAGCCAATGACCACAGCCCGTGACATCACGAAACATATATAGTCTCCAAAACTTCACTAGTTTAGCCAAATACTTCAAATCATCTCCACCAATTTTAGCAAAAGCAAAATTTCAATTGAAATTTAACAAACTATTTTTTTCAAGTTTGTACGAATCTGAAAACCCACCACCAATTGCTACTCAGAAAAAAAAAAGAAATTCACCATGAATACCCAATACCAGCGAAATCAAGTAGAAAGGAGAAGAAACAAGAGGCAGAGCCGATGGTTGACTTGGGTCCCATCTCTAACTTGGATCATATGGTTGACCTATGTTGGAGAGAGAGAGTTTTGTGCAATGGAGGCTAAGAATATTTTTTTTTCTTTCATTTTTGTGTCTTGGTGGGTAATCAAGGCGAAAATGCCCAATTCACCCTGGAATGGCCACTGAAGACTTTTTGGCCTTCCATTACCATAGATTCATTACCATTGTAGGGTTCCAAACATTATCAATGACAATCATTGATGGTCATACCCATTGCCTTCCCCCTAAACCCTCCAACCAAACGGGTGGTAAAATGGGCTGGCAAGTTGTCCGCCGTCCAGAGCATCCTTCTTTTCTCTCAACACGCAAAAAGCGCCTTCAGATCTCTCTTCTTGTCACCGTCCATCAAATCCAGTATTGGGGCTCAGAAAGTCCGCCTTTCTTCTGTGTTCTTCTTCATCTCAGAGAAGCGCCTTCATTTGCCGGTTAGTTATCTTTAGATCGGTCTTAATTCTCGTTGTATATTGGCTTAGCTGATAATTTCTTGGATGTTTCCTGTATGGTTCTTGTAGATCTTTGAACGTAGTGAATGGTATCTCTTGCAGAGGAAACGCCAAACTTTCCTCTGGGTAGTATTTTTTTGCTTCAATTTTGTATAAAGATTACTTTCTTTCGAAGCCCAAAGAGCTTACGTCAATTTTTACAAACCTAAACCCCGATGAAACTCCAAAAGTCGGTATCCTTTGAGGTCCCACAGGAGACTTATAACTACCAACCCAAACCCTCCCAACCCCGATATGAGATACATCTCAGGGAATGACACCCCAAACCTCCACAACGGGGGAGCCTGCTTACTTAAGTCGGTGATTGTTGTCTTGTAAAACTATTCATAATCTTTTCGGATTTCTTCTTTCTTAGGCGAATTCAGAAGTAGTACTGAATTTTGGTGATTTTTGTCTTGTAAAGATTTATCTTGGAATCTTTTTTTTTTCCCCACGAGAATCCACTTGTGCTTTTGTTTTCAGGGATAGAGTACTCAATTTAGTGATTTGTGTATTGTAAAGGGCGAATGAAATGTTCCAAAGCATGGAGCAGAAACTGAATAACAAATGCCAATTACTAGCTATTTAAATCTACTTCTGTACACAAGTGGCACGTGATGCGATATCAAGGCCACCACTATAGCGACTTTTTACTGTATCAACATCTTTGAGTAACCTATGAATCCTTCTTTTTGAGTGGGAATCTGGAGTTTCCCTAGAGCCTGCTTGAGCATCTCCCATGAGGTCCACAGCAGGCACACTCCTCATTGATGCTTCTCTATCGGACTCTCCAGTTTTGATGATTTAGAATTTACATATTTGTTTGGCATATAATTAAGTGACTGGCACCAATTTGAAAAAGAAACCTTTGAACTAAAATTCTATACTTCACTTTTCCTCAAGAACTTAGGGCTCGAGACTTCTGCACCAGGCAGCATGCAGCATGTATTTCCTGTAGCATCAGTGTATGTAATCTATCCTGTTGATATTGCTAGATCACTACACATCGCATCAAGAGCTTTCTCTAGACCATTTACGCGTCTCTCCAGAGAATTCATCCCATTTTGTGAATGGTCAATAAAATTCTGAAATCCACAATAGTATAAAACTAATTTCAACTAATGTTTCAGTTTTGTGTCGAGAATTCACAGCTACATATGCTAGAAGCAGAAAGACGCAATCCTATTTCACGACAGTGAGATAATGCATAAAACTGGTTTCAGCACTAATTTTTCAGTTTCATATTGAAAATCACTGCTACATATGCTAGAGGCAGAAAGATGCAAGCCTATTTCATCACTGTGAGACAACACATAAACATCTTCTAGATGTACGGAAGAAAATCATAACAATTTTTTAATCTTTATCAGCATGAAGCATGACAAACCTTTGAAACCAACAAATGAAAAAGCAATTCGATTTCAACATACTTTTTCTTGGCAGAAATGCATCACGAATTTGAAAAATACGTAAATGTAGCAAACAGTTAGTCCAGCTACAACACATCAAGAAAAACAGAGCAAAAACATAATAGAATGGAGAATTTTAAATTTGAAACTAAAGAAAAATGTTAAAATCATTGAAACTCACATAATTACATCTCTAAAATTTTGCATAAACAAGGCAAAAAAAAACCTAGCATCAGTTTCACATCATCAGCACCAACCAATCTCTAATCGCCACATGGGCGGACGATCATGCTGACTTGGCAGGGGGCCATTTACTGTTATACTATATGTTTAATAACTACTCAAAGCTTAACTAAGGGGGTGGGGGTTTTGGGGTGGGGGGAAGGGGGAAGGGGATTATGTTCTAAATTTGACAGATATTTCATTTGCAACTCTAGCTCTGTTTTGATGATTCACCAGTCTCAGCTTTTCTTTTCCCCTCAGCACGTGTTTTCTTCTCGTGAGAAGTGACATAACTGCTATAGGTTAGCGCAATCTCGCAAACGACATATCTTGGACGGCACCATGCGATTGCTGTAAAAATAAAGCTTATTAGACAATAATAATTCTGACAATTTCTTTCAAAGATTAAGTCAAAATATATTACCTCATCAAAGAGAAAAATATTGGACGATCGAAGAACTCGTAAATAGCAATAAATAGGTCGAGGAAGAGATAATACAATTTTGCTCCAATGACTTCATTCTTTCTTATCTGTTCCTAATAGTCGAAACTTTAGAGATGAAATTTAATCCTAAACTAAGATTAGAAGGTTTTTGGTAATTGATAGGGTGTTAATTGTTAGTAATTTTATTGTTACTTTTCCTTTGTCCTTGCCAAATATTGTTTTAATTGTTGATATATACTCATTTTTGGTATTTGGACCTATCTACAGGAAGTGGAACTGAGAAATGCTAAAAAGGGAATTTTATTGAGAAAAATCCTCCACACCTTAGAGCCTCCAGCAGATATACAAGTCGGGCCCATATGGTGCTACCAAAAACTCCATTTTCGGTTGCTGATGGAGAGCTCTTATTATCGGTAGTTGGCTTGTACGTGTAGGAGTCCTCCTACCAAAAGGAAACAAGAAGAGTGGAATTGGCAGGAGCTTTCCTCTTGTACTTGGACTTCCAATTTATTCGGCGGGGACCACGGATAAGAAGCATAAGTCATCTTTTGGACTTTAAAATGAGAAACAAACGTATAGAGGGTGGCTGTTGTTCCTAATTCGGTGGGGACCACGGAGAAAAGTTAGGCAATTGTTTTAGAATAGGGAACTTCATTCTTTTGGTTTGGTCCAACTCTTTCGTTTATTTATTTTGCCCTGTTTCCATTTCTTCGGGGGGATAGTTTTAGCTTAGCTTTTAGCGTAGTTTAGTTTTGTTTCTTTCTTGGCTCTTTTGATGGCCTGGACCTCAGTGAAATTACTTGAAGATTTTCTCATGAGGCGTGGCTAAGTTTGTCTAGTCAAGAACAACGAAGGATTTGGTTCTACTAAATTTGTGAGATCGAATTAGTTTTTATTTATTTTCATTATTCACTGGTATTTGTCTATCTTCTGCTTTATGTTCATATGGTTGTTTTATTATTCGATTATCCAGGGCCCGGATTCTAGATTAATTCAATAACCTGAAGCCAATTAGGGTAGTTAAATCCGTAATTGTTTAATTATTCTAAACTGGTGGCAATTGGCATGATTGGGTTTGTGTCAGGGAGATAGACAGGCTAACTTAAAGAGACCCTCGTAGCGTGTTGATTGGTTAGAATTAGGCTCTTCTAATTATTCATACAATTAGGGAATTGAACTTCTATGGTCGTACCTAGGGTTATTTCCTGATTAGAGAAATAGTCAACGGTCGTACCTTGGCTATCGATAAATTGAGGAAGAGTTGGTTGTTTATCGCGTGTATGACAACTATAACTAATTTATCAGATAGTAACTGGAATAATCCTTGCATCTGTGATCGAATTAAGTGAACCATCTCCGAAGTTGTCTCTTGGCTAGAGTTCGTCCATTATTATTTTTATTGTGATAATTAGTTATTTGAGTTGTAGTTATTTTATTTTATTTTAATTTATTCCAAGTAATTTAGTTACTATCATTTTCAAAAACCCCCCATATCTAGACTCTAAAAGAAATAAATTATCCCCAGTCCCTGTGGATTCGACCCTACTCACCGCTGTATACAAAATCTGTATTTTTCTCGAGTAGGTATTTATTATTGTACAGGTTTGACACCCTGTCAGTAATTAACCTTAAAATATATTACCTTGCTACGGCCTCTTGCAGTTCTCACGACATTGGTGTGGTCTACAAAATTAACATGAAAACAGCTGTTTCGTGCAAAGTGGAGGACACCCCAACTATCGTCACTGTACCTTCGTGTTCCTTGGGTAAGATGAAACTGATAGACATAAAAATACTCGCTTTTCTCGTCATTGATTCTTTCAGCCCAATTCCTAAACACTAACCCCCTTTCCTTATACGTGTTTATAAATGATTTCTTATAATTGTCATATTACTCTAGATTGAATGCTTTGCTGTGAAAATGATCATACGTCATAACTACTGTAGGAAATAGTTAGTGATGAATCCCACATTAAAAGTGTGTGAAGAATGGAAAAGATTTATAATCAAGTGCACGCCTATTCAAATAAATTTGGATGGTGAAAAATTTTGGAGGGAAACTTCAAAATTGCACATATATTTGTCATGTTGACTGTTGAATTAGAGTATAAATTTAATGGTCAAAAGATTGGCACTTGAAAATTGCCGCAAATCCGGTAGTAGAATAGTAGAAGCAAATTTCCTTAAACAAAGTGAATCTTCACGCCAAAGTCATTTTCTGTACTTGTAGTTATTACAATTTCCTAACAACTACAAGTCAAAATCTATCAATATGCGATAGGAAGAGAGGATGAGCTACCGCCTTCACAACATCATCATGACTAAAATAAAAAAAAACAAGCATATGTTAGTGAAATTTGAAGGTAAATCTCAACTCAGAACCAGAATTGATGATTGCTACTTATTCTTTGTTAACAGCCTTTCAAATACCACATTGTTACATACTATCATATTATTCTTACAATAGGACTAAGTTATTACAAAATAACATAAATCAAGAAGTAACTAGAACCGTAAAATACAGGTTAGAAACAAAATAGGGTAATTAACAGGGATATGAACCATCTGTGCTTATGCTGGCAAATCACATATAAACTTCATTACACAATTGACAGTGATTCAAGTAATGAATCAGAAAAAAGGACAAAACAAAAAAAAGGAAAAAATCAGCAATTTGCAAGAAAATATACTGACTATCTATTTGATAACTCGTAAAAGAAAGACTTGTCAAAATAACAGCTAGAAAAGGAAAGAAAAGTCTAGAGTGGTAAAAAATTATCAGAATAATCAGTTGTACCATGAAAATTTGATTTTCTCAGCTACATGCTTAAGAGTCATTCCGCCCGTCCGAAAAGACGCAAACAAGCTTTTAACAACTATCCAATTGTTAGTCGTGCAATCAATTCTTGTTTCATCAAGTTTCGTCAGTGCACAGATAATTTTAGCCTTCTTTCCAGTATAAAATATACCTGCAATTGCTAATTTGTTCTTCACGAGGCTGAGGCCCACCAATGAATTCCCTGAAAACGTATATCAATGAATTTATGCCATTTAAACAAGTTGTAAACCAATGGAAAAGTTAAATATTACTTACTGTATAATGCATAAAATAGTGCCAGTTGGACTTTCTATTCTTGACCTTTTGTATTCAGAAAGAAGCGTAAACAAGTTTCCATTCAAAGGCTCGACGACGAGCCAAAATTCCTGTGATTTCTTTGAACCAAAAATCAAATATCTCAGCATTGTTCATGGTTAGTATCCCGGAGAATGGTGAATGTCGTTCCATATCTTCCCTGTCCTTCATTTGACAAATGAGCGCTTCACAGGGTCCACCATCTTCAATGTTCCGGTCCAAACTCTAACTTTTGGTCCTTCTTCTTCGTCAAACTTAAACCAATATTCTAGGCCACCAATACTCTTATCTTTCTTGATTATCATTCTTTCACAATTCTAAAAAAATAAAATATTATCATTATTCACATTTTTTACAGTTTTGGGTTTAAATAATTAATTTTAGTATTCCACATTGAAAAACTGGAATGGAATGAATTTTAGTTTCTTGATAAAATGAATGAACAAAATTCTACAAAATCCACCTCTTAATATATACTGATCCTTCAATATCATGAATCGCAAACATCATTTTGATTAGTGAAAGTTCCTTTGTTTTATTTTATGCTTTCCCTTTTTTTGGTAGTTGTCAAACAAGACAAGTGTCACGGGTTGCTTGTTTTCCTATAAGCCAACACATCGTGCGGCACTAGCAAACGTTCAAGACTTAAACTATGAACGGTTGGCTAGTTCTACCTAAATACAAAGTATGCGGAAGTTATGTAGAAGCATAAGAGTAGTAGGCAAAGATAGAAGTATGTGTGACAAATGACAGCTTATATTACACTCAAAACTCTTGTACAAGACTACAAATGGAAAGGGTTTGACCTATTTATAGACAAGCCAAAAACATTACACATCTCTAAAGGATTTTACAAAGTGTACACCTAAACATGATCTCTAAAAATATTCTATACAAAGTGTGTGTACATTTGGACTCTAGAAACATTTACACAAATCGCATCTTATCCACAAGATTCTAGACCATTCCACATGGCTCTTGGATAGTTTAGAACGTTCCACAAGCTTCTAGTATATGCTACATAATTCTAACAACTTGTGACACAATTTTCATGCCTTAGTTAAGCCTACAAGATTTGGCACTTAGTTGGAGAAATAAGGTGTGGGACTACTAACGGTCCCAACTTTTCTACCAAGACTATTATGTACAGTGCTGCAAAACTTAGTCAACTGGGCATGGTCGCGCGCGGGTTGGGTGCAATCTATGTCACAAGGAACTTGGCATAAAATGCACTCTAGCAACTAATGAAATGATATTTCACAATTTCCAAACCAACTAACCAAAAATCTAATCGAATGAACACAATCACACAAATATGATCAAAGGAAACTAACGAAACTTCAAAAGACCCATATGAAAAATTTACATCATTCATTCTTTTTCATCTAACCAACAAGCATTACATGGATGTCAAGCAAAATTTATGGACATCAAGTAATAACTTGCATAAGCCAACAAAGAAGCACTAATTTAAAGCCATAAAAGATCCTAATACTAACCGAAGGTATTTTTTTTTCCTTGGGTTAGTATTTAACATGGATCAGTACCTCCTCCTTCCAAAGTCTGTTTCGATTGAGGCTGGGAAGGTTAGCATTCGGGAGAAAGCCGACATCTTCACCGAACATTCTCACTTTCCAAAAATGGCGCCAAATGTAATTTTTGAGTTTCAACCAGTAATATTATAGTGTACAAACTATGAGACTTTTTTTAAAAAAAAAAAAATAGATTGTGAAGCTTGCAGGTTTTGTTTGGATGGTGATAAGATGTCTCATTATCCCAAAAAAAAGGAAGAAGAAGAAGTATCGCCGTCGGTGGTGAAAGTAGCGGAGAAGGACGGCTGTTCCGCCTGAGCCGTAGTTTGTCTTCTACTACTAGTAAGTTTGCTCTCCTTTTCTTAATCAAATCCCATACTACTAGTATATTTTAGGGTTTAGGGAAATGTGCGTTTAAGACATACTCCAATAATTTAGGATTTTTAAAATGTTATTTGCACTCCAATAATTTATTGTCTAGCCCACATCTACATGAGGCTCAATTGGAACTAAACTAGGCTACAAGCCGGAGCACATCAAGGTGTTAAAAGTAATTTTATTTTTTGAAGCTTAAAATTTTTTCCTTGTTTCAAAAAATAGAAAATTGTAATCAAAACTTGGGTTTCTAATTTGTCTGAAAGCTAAAAAATTTGATTCAAGTTCAAACCTAACAATTATGCTTGTTTGAAAGGTGAGTTTTTTGGATATTTGTATAAAATTGTACTGTAGATCACTGTAGAAGTTGTAGAAAAACTTTTGTAGAAGTTTGGGTGTTTGTAAGATGAAATTTTTTTTTCCTTTTCATTTTATTTCTTTCTTTTTCTTTTTTCTTTTATTTCTTTCTTTCTTTTTCTTTTCCTTCCTCCCTTTCCCGCTTCTTCTCCCTCCCCTTTCCTCCCCCTGTTCCCTCTCCCGAAACTTCCATGGCAGCAACTAACAGGTGATTCTTTTTTTTTCTTGCTTTTTTTCTCTTCCTCTCTCCCTCCCCCGCCATCCCTCTTCTCCCTCTCCCTCTCCTTCTCCCCTTCCCCTTCCTTCCCCCGCCACCCCTCCCTCTCCCTTCCCTGCCATCCCTCTTCTCCCTCTCCTCTTCCCCTTCTTTCCCCCGCCACCCCTCCCCTCCCCCTGCCTGCTGGTAGTTGCATGCCTCCTGCAATCAGCGAATCAAAAGACACATCTTTTTTTGATTTAACCATCAATTGCCCCACAGATTCCATAACTGATTTGTGTTGGGTTAATATTCACTGCAATTTTTGTCCGTGGTTCCAAGGAGCATGTGGACTCAAACAAGTCTAGCAAAATCACAGAAATAGTTAGGCTTCAACCCGTTCTCAAGAAATGGAAGAATTCTCGGGTGGCTCTAGTGACGTGGTGCCCAAAGGGTATCTAGCAGTATACGTGGGAGAAGGGCTCAAGAGATTTGTGATCCCAATGGAGGATCTGGGTCACCAAGCTTTTGGGATTCTACTGACAGAAGCTGAAGAAGAGTTTGAGTTCCAACAAGGAGTTCTAAAGATCCCTTGCCAAGTTGCTGTCTTTGAGAAGATCCTGAAGATGATGAACAAGAGGAGGGATGCGCCGAATGCATTTCACTTGCACGATTTCAGGCAGAGGCGAAGAGGGGAGGGGGAGAGAGAAAGAAAAAAAAAAAGAAAAAGAGCACCAACAGATAGGTCAAAGGGGAGGGGAGAGGAGCAGAGAGGGTGAGGGAGAGAGAAAAAAAAAAGAGGAAGGCCGGAATTGGCTGCCGGAATAGTGACTGGCGCCGGCAGCGGTGGTGGAGGTGGTGGCCAGCAACGAAGGACGTGGTGAGTTGGGTGGGGGAGGAAAAAGAAGAAAAGTTGAAGAGAAAGTTTTTTGTGTATTTTTTAAGTGTGTAGGTTAAAAATTTTGATAAGTTTTTTGGAATTTCTGTAGCAAAAGTTGTTAAAAAACTAATTTTATACAAACTTGATAAAAAATCAAGGTTCCAAATAGGCCTAATGTTTTAAAAAAAAGGGTTCGAACTTGACAACGTTCAAATATTAGGACCTCACTCTGGCTCGAGCTTATAGAATCTAAGTTCAAACTTATGAAAATTCAGCTAGTTAAAGCTCAAATCGACTTTTATATTTTTTTGTAAATTTAAATATCCAATTTTGGCAAAAATATGTTGAAATGCACAAAAAAAGAATTTAACGAGCTCAATACTATCCAATATAGGTCCAATCTGACTTTGACCTCAAATTCTATGTTCATGTAAGTTTCGAACTGAAACCCAAGCTTCAGATTCAATTTGTTTGTAGCCCAACGAATGGAACCCAAATGCATCCTCGTTTAGTTGCTTGATGTATCAAACAGAGACAACATATGTACAAGTCGGACTCCAGCTCCTATAAAGAGCCCCTTGTAGGAATTCAACTATAGCAGGTGGTAAACTGGAAAATAAATTATCACTAATGAAACCGATTAAATTTCTTGAGTACATTAACATTGCGTGGGCAAGAAACTTTAGCCTTGAAAAACTTAAAGAGCATCTCTTTTCTAATTTAATTTAATCAAAAATTAAATAAGAATACATTGATGATATAAAAGAAAAAATTTAGTGGAAAGAGTAGAATCCTAATTTTAGTATATAATTCTATTCTAAATGCTATTACACAAATTATTGCATAATTGTGAATGTAGGCTCCAATAGATTATGATTAAGAATCATGATTAGATTAAAAAGAAAAAAGAAAAAGTGATTACCAATATGAAGAAATTTGCTTCAAGAATGATATGTGAAGATCGAATGAGGAGATACATTGACCAGGTAATCCTCAGCTATAGTCACAATAAACAGAATTATTTACCTTTACGAGGCACTAAAACAGTTTTCTCTACATTTCGCTTTCATTGGTTTGTTATTTCACAACCTCGGTCATGGTCATGCCCATCGATTTTCAGAAATTATAAAATGCAGTGTTTCCCATGACCTTTGCTAATACGGAATCCATATCTTGTCAGGTTGAAGACTTTGAAGGTATCATACATTTTGAGGAACAGGTAATTTTCTACTCAGCAATGATGGAGCCAAGGGGGCTGAGGGGGCCATGGCCCCCCCCTAAGTTTTAAAATTTTTAATTCATAGTATGTAAATATATGTATAAGACAAAGTTGGCCCCCCCTAATTTTTTACAATTTTAGTTTATATTATGAGAGTTTATATATATATGTGTGTGTGTGTGTGTGTGTGTGTGTGAATTAGCCATCTTTGATTTAATTTTTTCTTGAAAAAAAGTTATTTATTTTTAATTGTGCTAATTATTTAACATTCAAAAAATTAAACATATAATTTCATGATCCATAGTAAATTGACCCAATTTGATATATTATAATAAAAGGCTCAATTCATAATTATGAATGGGCTAAAATAAAAATAATTACTTTATTGGTCCATATACAAATATACAACTTAGCCTAATTGATAAAAAATTTAAAATTAGTGATCTATCCTCTTGTTGACCCATATACAAATATACAAATAATTACTCGAAGGCTTGGTGAAGACAAGAAATTGAGTGATCTATCATGTTGTTGACAGATTGATTATATTTGTTTTCACTCTTCATGTATCAATTACAACTATAGAACAGACATTTTCAATTATAAATATAATCAAAACAAAACTGCAAAACAAGATAAAAGATAATTTCTTGAATGATTGTCTAACAATATACATAAAAAAGGGAAGTTGTTCAAAAATTTAGCACTGATTCAATTATAGATGAATTTAGTTATATGAAATAATGTAAAGCTCAATTTACTTTTAAGAAAAGAGGTTGAAATTTCAAGGTGTGCGAACATAACTTTTATCTTTTTTTTTAATTGAAAATAGTTATATTTATATTGCATAGTTATATTTTTGTTTTTGCACAAGTGACGTATTGGATCATCTTCTCATAATGTACAATTTGAGATGTACAATTTGGATAGTTTGTACTGTTATAAGATATTTAATCAAAGGTTATTTCTTGTTCTAATTTTTGTTATGACTATGCTGCATATTTATGAAATAGATATACCTTTATAATTAAATTTAATATTTGATATTTTAAGATGTCATATATTTAAATCGATGAAAATTATTTTGAATATAGCATATTAAGATAATTTTGTTCAAAAAAATTTTGGCCCCCCTCCCAAGGAAAAAATCCTAGCTTTGTTCTATAGTCTATAGAATGGACATTTTCAATTATGAAGATAATCAAAACAAAACTCCAAAACAAGATAAAAGATAATTTCTTGAATGATTGTCTAACAATGTACATAAAAAAAGGAAGTTGTTCGAAAATTTACCATTGATTCAATTAGAGATGAATTTAGTTCTATGAAAGAACGTAAAGCTCAATTTACGTTTAATAAAAGAGGATGAAATTTCAAGACATGTTAACATAATTTTTATCTCTTTTTAATTGAAAATAGTTATATTTATATTGCATAGTTATATTTTTGTTTTTGCACAAGTGACATATTGGAGCATCTTCTCATAATGTGCAACTTAGGTGGTTTGTGATGTTATAAGATATTTAATCAAAGGTTATTTCTTGTCTTAATTTTAGTTATGACTATGCTACATATTTATGAAATAGACATATCTTTATAATTAAAGTTAATATTTGATATTTTAAGATGCCATATATTTAAATAGATGAAAATTATTTTGAACATAACATATTAAAATAATTTTGTTCAAAAAAATTTTGGCCCCCCCCCCAAAGAAAAAATCCTGGCTCCGTCACTGCTACTCAGGTCACCCTACCTTTCATAGATGATCAGGTAGTTTCCACACACACCGTCTGTCAGAGTAATTGGTGAAATAAAATGCATGCCTATAAATTAATCGGCAGCTCTCACTTTAGTATTTAATTGTTCGTTTAAAACATAGCATGCGACCTTTCACAGATTTTTGGGCTTTGCCAAAGCTCTGAACGACGTCCTTGATGGCATGGCAAAGAAGGGTTTACCAATTCCTCCTGCCTGCCTAAATTAAGGATGGTAGCCACGAGGATCTTCCTTCTACTATTTTAGGGACACTTTTAAAATCACACCTTTGCTTCTACGGCACTTTTGTCACGTCTTTGTACATGTCTTTAAGTTCTTTTTGATCAATAATGTCTTCAAAAAAAAAGAACCGCTTGTTCTTTAAGTTATTGCTTGTTCATCCTGCAATACCTCCAATCACAATAGAAACGGAAGACAGAGCCGCACAATGTGGTTGATTGCTTTTGTTCATGAAGTCTGCTAGTAGGACTGTTTGTGTGAGATTGCAATTCCCTGCAATGATACTTCCACGGCATCAGAGTACCCACGCACTGTTCTTCTTGGGTTCAAATCCCACTTTCTGAAGGTTTTGCGGCCACTCATTTTCTTTCACTAATATCAGCGGGCACTCTGTTTAATAATTTTACTAAAGTATTTTGTTATTAGTACAATCGGATTGAGATATCCATCTCCACCAATAAAACCGTTTTTCTGATGCTAGGAGACGAAAGTATTTGTAATAGAAAAATCGCTTATTAATGGGGTGCTTTAGTTCGATGGAATGCAACTAGCTAAAATTCCTACCTTTCTTACACGACTAAATACAGGAGAGGCTCATATGCCTTGAACCCTTTCTTTATTAAAAAAAAAAAAAAAAAAATCACTTATTTACAACCTTGCCATATACACCACAATTTGCAGGAAAGAAAATTACATGATCTTTAACTTAAAACAGAATTCTATCGTCCCTAGATTAATTGCCATGAAAAGACAATTCAAGCATCAAAAGTCATAAAGCCCCATAAGCCAAGTCAACCTAATCCAGAGTGAAGAATGCTTTCACGCAGAGAGGATATCAAATTCATGGGGCATGAAATCTTCACTCGGTCTGTAGTATTTGTCTGGCGAATAGAGACCCAAATTTGTCACTTGACTTGTATAGAGGCAAGCAAATCTCTCCACCTGATACAGATCCTCAACTGAATTCAGGGGAAAAAGAAAACGAAAAAAAAAAGGGGATACTTCCTTGCAAAAAAATAATAAAAAAGAGAGGAAAAACTCATGAATACTTCTGGTCACCTGATGCGCAAAGCGAGAATTTTGATAGCCAGTTTTCATCAGTTGTCCCCAGGCTTTATGGAACTGAAAAGATTTCAAAAACGTATATGAAATAAGCTTCACAGAAATGTCATGCTGAACATGGATTTTCAGAGAATGATTTGGTCATGATTTTTCTTGAACTGACAATCTTCAGCAAAATATGCCAGCGTCATTCTCTATTCCCAAACGCAAGTCCAAGTTTGTAAGGCCAAGCAAGATACATAAAACACTTGAACTGCTTACCTTTTGGTGACATTCCCGTTGGGCCTGTTGGTGACTTAGCCTCACTTGCTCTCTCAGAGACTGGAGTAAAATTATTCAGTCAGAAACTCGTCTGTCGACACTTTGGACGACAATGATACTTTCCAGCACAGAGAATAAATAGCAACACTCACAAATATGTAAATATAAAAAGATTACAAACCACTGTAAGCGAAACAAGCTACGCATTTACATGTACAGCATATAAAAGGAAACAGCAAAAATGTCTTGGATCATTTATTTGCCCAAACAGTAATGTTATTGTTGTTTAATATTATTATTCTCATTAGAGTCAGTAATGTATAGACATTTTGTTGGTTGAAAAGTCATCTTTGACAATT